CGACTCGATATCGATTGTCCAAATATGAATTTCGCATTTTTTTATCTCTTACTAGAAATTATAACTTTCTTTTTTCAAGGGGCAAAATATTAATCAACCCGTATTTTATATTTCAATTTTTGTTTACCCTTTTCCACTTTCACTCCCGCTCCAATCTTTCTTTACAGCAAACCTTATAGATCCAACGGCACTTATCGGCTATAATTATCCACAATCTGGTTTCCGTTTTGGTTCCGAAGCAGTCAACCGCGAGTACTCTATCCTGTCCACTATGCTATCTTCATCGGCTCCTCTCTCAGACATGGCAGCACCACAAGTAAGCTTTGCTGACATGGAAATGGTGGAATCCAATGCATGGCCGCCAGCATTGATGACCTCTCCTCAGTGTATGAATGGACAAATGCTAAAAAAGGATGGAAACATAAATGGCAAGAGAAAAGTATTTAAGAACACACCAGAGAGCATATACGCAACAGTTACAAAGCCATTTTCGTACATAGAAGGGTTTCATTATTTGGTTAAATACGTAAGAGAAAGGTAAGTAGAAAGAAGAGCGAAAATCATTGTTAAAAAATGGGAAAAGATAACATGAGCAGGATATTAGAGCAAGGCTTGGTGAGTGTTAGTGAACTTTTTATCGATATTTAGGATGGACAAAGATCATCAAGAGCGTATAGTTCGTGCAATAGCGACTTTTCGTCCATCCTTTATTGCATTGATTATGAATCTTACAGAAGAGGACCTGATATTCATGGAGAAATGTTTTCAGCGGACGTTGCTGGTGAGTGTTTGCTTGCCAATAATCTTTTTCTGCGCTTTCATGCAAAACGATTATAATTCGTTGCTCACTCATCATTTAAACATTTTCTTTGCAGGAATTTGAGAAACTGATATCGTTTTCGGGCACACCAACAGTCGTATGGCGACGTACAGGAGAAATCACACTTGTTGGAAAGGAGTTTACATTGTTAACACAATGGTCGAAAGAGCAATTAGTTGGGAAAAAGTATATATACGAAGTATGTAAGACATATTGATTGTTTCAATTATGGGTTTCTACAGCTTTACCTTTTTAACAACGCATTCGATTATCTTATTATTTTCACAGGTAATGTCGAACGAAAGCGCAGTGGAATACTGGGGGAAGTTTGCGGCGCACGCGTTTGAGAGTTCGGGGAAGAGCGTGATGACCACGTGCGCACTAATTACTCCTCAACAAACACCGGTGCTTTGTACTTTCTGCTTTACTATCAAACGAGATATATTTGATATTCCGTTGGCTATAGTTGGAAACGTGAGTGTAATAAATGAAGGATGAGGAAAAAAGGGAGAGGAGTGGAGAGGAGAGGAGTGGAGAGGAGTGGAGAGGAGAGGAGTGGAGAGGAGTGGAGAGGAGGAGTTGGGGGGGAGGAGTTGGGGGGGGGGAGATGCTTTTGAGTTGGAATACGATATTAACGATATCTTATTGTATTTAGTTCTTACCGATACTCAAATGATTCAAAGCTTCCGCCAAACATTTGCTATCATTTACGCGTTAATTACTTCTTTACAATCCTTTGTAAATGAGATTATATACATTATTCATTGCATAAAAGTTTGCATGGCGAACTTTATGTATACTCTTTGTCAAATATAATACATTGCAAGAGAACTTTTTTATTTGTACATTTTTTTTTTGCCTTTTTTTTTTATATACGAAAATGCTTCTATGAGATTGGGTATAAGATATATAAGATACGTGTTGAACTGTATCTACGTTAACGGTTTGGGCCTTGGAGTGCAGAAATGGACGAGTTGTAATTGTAGAAAATAAATAAAGAATACACTCGTAACAATACGTTGACAGTCCTGATCGGTTTCAGAGTTTAAAGTTTCTATACTCCGGTTCGGCTTTTAAAGATTAAAAGCCTATTACTATCACTATCATATATCACACTGCAAGCATCAATACACGGTCTGGTTAACTTGCATTGGCATTTACAACAAACTTTTTTTTACAGACAGACAATAACAGCACTATTAATTACTATGCAATCACTGGCGTTGTCAATTGGTACGCATTCATTATTACATAAAACTGGAAAAAAAGTTTGAAACGTTATTATCAATCCTAATTAGATGTCAGGTTTAAAGTTAGAGGACGTTTGGGAAAATGGCAGTTTTGTATATTACTAATGTTTAAGTTTTTCTATTGGCTTTGATCCATTAACATTGAAGTTTATCTTTCATGATTTTAGAGGAATAAATCATCTACATTAAAAAATACTTATTCCGTATTTTGAGAGTTTGATTCTTCTCTGTGTGTTCTTCTGTCAGTGAAACAACAACTACATGGGTATAGAGACAATAAAACATCACTAACAAATTCGTATCGACAGGACATAAAATGTTGATCAAGTTGGAAACTGACGTAGAGCGAGGAATTCAACATTGGAAAATAGCGGTATTTTGTATCTATTCTCTGAATACTCTTAGCATCTTCTTTTTCTTTTTCTTCATTATCATCGCCCAGACTGTCTAAAAATGTCAGTGTAATGTCAAATACAATTTGTGGTTTTCAAGAGAAGATGACATACTTTTCAGTATTATGATTTAAATAGACTGTAAATTTATTCATGTGATAAGGTTTAGATTTACGAGCAATCTCGTAAAATTTTATTAACAGAAAAATTCCGTGAGCAAATCAAACAGAGTATAACAGTATGTATCAAATTACGTTCGTTTGCTTTTCCGCGTTTCAGTATTATTAAAGCACATTTATCGAGTCAAATACATAAGTTTTAGTTGGATGCAAAAGATTCATCCCCAAAATTCAAAATCTGTCATAAATAATATCTTTATGACAGACCTGTTCTAAATCTGTATCCTTTTTTACTTTGCGAACCTTAATCCATTATTATTATCCGTCGCGTGGCTAAATCCTCAAAGGCCAATACTGGCTGCAGTTCTTCAATGTCCGTGGATATTCCGAAACGTCCTGAGACGAGTAAATATTATTGCTGATGTTTTCGTTTGAGTTGAGGATAACTCGGCAATTCGAACTCCTTGATAAATCGGACGATTATGCCAGTCAATCGCGTATGTATTAATAATGTTACTTTCCTTTTTACCTTACGACAACTGTGTAACATTATCTTACGATATGAATGCTAGTAAATATGGCTGATTTGTTTGCATGTTTACAAAAGGGCTTTTTGATAGAAATAGACAGATTCCCGTTCTAGTTTGACTATTTCATATGGTATACTTGAACAATGTGTGCAACACATTGAACTACCCCTAATTGTCACTTTGAAAAATTTCCGAATTGGGTTACTAACTATTACCCCCTTCTGTATGCTGTCTACGAAAAGACATAGAGAGAGAGAGAGAGAGAGAGAGTTTCTCATAATAATCAGTGACACGCTATCTGAATCTTTCCTATCGAACACCTCTTTTAAGTGGGATAGCGACATCACACGTTTTCCCCATTTCTATTCCACAATCCCGTTTTAGCCAAGGTGGCATAATCCAAATGGCTTGATCCTAACCCATCGGAGGTACCCCGGAGGCGTATTAGAAAATCATCCGTCCTATTGATAGGATATCAACCTTTTTCATACCAAGAACATTCGTATATATATTTAACTTAAACTGTCTATTATAAAAACATCATTTGATTTAATCAACATACGTCATCCAATAAATTATAAAATGGACGCCAGACGTTTTATCTCTATATTTTTTATGCATATGCATATATTCATTAAAAGCCGAACCCATATTAATTATTTATAGTTCACTTAAAAATTCTATTGGTACCTTACATAACAATCATGTGTTAGTGTCTCAAATTATGGTATCGATTCCAAATTGAGTATATTTAAACCTTTTATTTTGGGTTGAACTTAAAACGTTCTGAAAATGGTATACCGTATAAGGCATACACTTATTAACAATAAATAGAACAGCTGGTTTCTGATTGTGCTTTACTCGGCATTAGTGTCTGTCCTGAATCAGAATGACAACGCTATCCGAACTGTCTAGTACATCCGACGAAAATATTACTGTCATCCGGCCACCCCCCGCATCAAAGAAAGCCACCGAGAATGCGAGAAAACTAAAGCAAACGGAGGAAAGCTTTCTAAACGCGTTTCGCCACCTAGGAGTAGATAAGGATGATCTAAGCTTCGTAGTGTCGCGAATATACAACGCACTCAAAAGTGATCCATTTCACTCTCTCTACGAACTTCTGGATCATATCCAGATCATGTTGACATATGTATGTGACGAGAATTCGGCAGCTAGAGAACAGATGCGGTCAGATCTAGTGCAATTGGCAGCCGAGCATGTCTCTCCCAGACCTAATGCCCGCACCAGTACCTCCCTGCCCAATCCTAATACCTGTACTGGTCTTACGCCGGTTTCAAGGAAAAGACCGGCATCTTACTCAAAACCCAAAGGCAATAATAATAAGAGACAACGTTCAGAACTTGAACGTGACCGTGAACGCGAACTAAAGCGCATGGGACCGCACGAGTCACAAATATGTTTCGAAAATCCTACGGGAGAAGTGGAGGAAAGCAATCAGTCCACAAGTCTCAATGGCCATGACTATGACGGACAAAGAGTTTCATTATCAACGGAAGATGTGTTTCTGACTTCTGATCTGAATGAAACCCCGGAAGATAACGTGCCGGTAATCGATAATATAAATAGCCTCGCTGCAGACATGATCAGCGGAGTACAATTGCCGTCGCAACCTTGTGTACACTCTTGTTGTTTCTGTGCCTCCCCGACATCTTATGACACTGCGTAACAGGTGAGTTTGTATAATAAGTTTTCATAACAGTCATACAGTCAGATCTTTCCTATCGAAAGGTTCTTACAATCTTTCCGTTATTTCCACTGTCATCTATTTACAACGACATCTTACAAGGATGACACATAATCTCGTTTTGCTCATACTTGGGCATAGTGCAAGGGGACATAAATTAACGTCTGGCATCCCCAGAGACTTAGTCGATTATAAGGTATCATTCGCTATAGTGATGGAACGAGTGAAAGAAGGAAATGGTATACCAGAATTGATTGTTTCACTACAACATTATGAAGAACGAATTAGATATGCGGATATATATAGTCTAAGTTATTTAACTAGTCGCGAATCTTACGTGAACTTAATAAACCGGAGCTCCATACTAATAGAGCGCGCGCGCCGCTTCGTGACTATTCGCAAATCGCGACTTTATCCACTTGTTCGTCTTTGGTGTATTAAATATGTACATAATGAAGTAATATATACTGTTACGGACATTGTGCTGTGTTTGACATTTGTAAAGTCTGTATATACGAAGTGGCAGCATGTGGGATTGTACGCGGATGACAGACTATCTATCATCGTGTCCATAACGGATAACCATGTCATAATCATGTGGGCAATATTGCAATAAGTGAGCCGGTTCAAAACGAGCGAATGTCTCGCCCGATAAAGACGGTAACTGCTTTCAACGGAAGGATATTGCACGTAAAATTTAGTAGAACAAGCGGGACATTTGGGTATGAATATGGCAATCGTCGTGATGATATATTGTTTCATATGATTGGCCGCGTATATCTCATCAATATGATTTGTTGGAAAATAACATGTGATCTAATGTTATTGAAGCAAAAGGTTACCGGCTATAGGCTTAGTCCAATAATATTACTTGCGTATCAACGCGATGCAGAGATACGTTGCGAAAGTATTCTACCTTTATCACAATTGTAAAAGTTCTATTCCGATGTATAATGTAATAAAGACTCTCTGTTTAAATGTGGGACTTTGTCTTTTACGTGTTCAGTATCTATAATACACGAACACTGTTAATAGTAGAAAGTGTTGCGAGCAGCACTTAATTTGGATATCATAGTTATATCCTCATGTTTAAAAAAACCATTGATTCGTTAGGTCTTCCCTTTTCTAGGAAATAAAATCTTGGTCTTTCCTATTACTATACTGAGTGTACCCGAATGGCTTAATTTCAGAATTTATGCCAGAATGTAAGGTGTATATTATCCATCAAAAATAATTTTTATAAATGAATTTAGTACACTGTTCAAAAATTGCAAAAAAATGGAAGGAGGAAAATAACATCAAGGTACAGTCCCTCAGCCATCAGTGTCTCCAGATCAAAATCTTATTGAGTAAGTGTGGCACCTAAGAAAAATTAATATACAAGAAAAAAAATTAATACAGCTAATAAAGAGAGACCTTGCAAAACAAGAGAACTGTTACTGTTCTCTCCTGAGTTAGCAGCAAAATTGACAGACAGTATGAAATGTTGTGTATTGTGCTATATTAATATATTTGAACAGCAATGTATTGAATAGTTCAGTTAATTATATACTTTAAGTGTTATTATTGTAGTTATGATCACTATTAATTGGGTATGCTTGATGCACCTCATAAGTCAAACTGTAATTACTGCAATTATGACATATTACAGACCTGATATCCATAACAGAATTTTCACAAAATTTTTTGTGACTTGTAAGATCATATGGGGCAGACTGCAACAAAACCAGACAAAATGAACATTTGACTATGTGACATAAATGAGAGACTAATTATAATGTGATTGTAAAATAATCAGTGTGACTGATGACGTTTGAAAAGTAATAATGGTGCTTATGGACTTGTTAATTTTAATGCTCACTTTATCATACCAGAATGTGATGAATATAAACCAGAACAGGATTGATATATATAGGATTATCTCTATATAAAAACATTGATTATTGGTGGGCTTTTTTCTTTCTTAGCATCCAAAATACTAGGGCTGTTATCCCTGATGTTATTAAGATAGCTGGTATCAATCATATAGGAGACATTCGATAAAACAAACCCGTTTCGTCTGCATTATAAATGTCATTAGGATCATATTGATAACAAGTTGCGCAACCTCAGCCTTTCGTCAAACACAATGTCGAGTGAAACACTGGCAGCCTCTCCATGAAGGCGGTAAGTTTTCAGGTTATTGCAATTAGAGAATTTCATGTCGTCAGAAGGTGTGTTAAACAGCTTAGCAAATTCTCTTCTTTTTTCTTTAATTAAAAGATCACTGAGGAATAAGCCTGCTGACGTAACTTGGTTAATCCAGATTCCCATAGCTCTCTCAATGTATGGTCACTTAATGTTACGGTGTCGGTAAACTTTCGAAGAAGTATTCTTAACAACATTTCGCCACCGATCCTTGTTTTTAAGTATTTCGAAATTGTAGACCTGTCAATACTAAGAGTTGAATATTGATTATTGAAGAAATCGGCAATGAATTTGTGTTTTTTATCAGGAAACTTCTGCGCATAATCACAGATTTCTTTACGAATGTTGTCAGTTATTTGTGAACGGGATTTTTTTTGTCGCTGCTGACAGCATAACGAGCAACGAGGATGTAGTGATTATCTAGACTGTAAGTGGCGTGACTGTACCGTATGTAGACTTTTGTGTAAGACATGATATTATTTAGGGGATGACTGAAGTTAAGAAATTGAGAAAATGAGATTGTGAGAACTGGGTATATTCTAATACCGCTTATTTAATTCATCCGTAAGGACTGTTGGTATACAGAATAAACAAAGTATTTTAAGTTTTGTCTTTGCTCAACGATTTAACAAATTTTCATAAACAAAGCTCTGGTTCGATACGAGCATCAGGTATTTTATTCTCTGTAAATGCAAACTTCCGTAAATGCAAGTAATGTCTGACTTAGCCATATGGTCTCGATGCGTTGCATTTAGACTGTAGTTTAAGGTAATTGGTGATGTTCGCTACTATCCGCCCGATATTACTGAGCATGATTTTGCATTGTATTTGGGAGCGCCTGAATCATTGGTTAAAAACAGTATATTAATATGACAACGTCAACGACTTCAATTGAAAGATAAAACAGCCAAATTTATTTTATAGTAAAAGAAAAATATTATCGGATAACTTTGATAAATACAAGGCTCAAATTAATAGAAATTCGCTCTCAACTGGGTCGTCTGCTTTGAACCATTAATTACCCCAAGCACCCGAGGCCCCCAGTTTTCTTGGAAGTCGCACCGACTGGGGAAAAGCGAGCGATGGCCGACCTATCCCAATCCCGCGTGGAAGATTTTAACAGCATTATTTTGAACAAATATAACCGAGTGACTTAGAAACGATACGCTAATAAATTTGATTCCGATATCTTCACAGTAAACATATATAATAATTCGACTTGGTGCAAAATTTGATAAAGCGAAAATCTTGATACGAATAAATTGCCTTCCCCACAACCTTACGCTTATCGAGTCTGCCTTGAATGATAAGAGTCCATAAGAAGCTTTTATAGTGGGCTATGACAGTCTAATCTTTCCATCAAAAAGCTTACACAGTTTTCGTAATCTACTTTTATAGCAACATTGCAGTCTTTTTTTTTCTTTACGTTTTAACTGTCGGGCATAATTCAAGTGTTTGGTTTTAGCTTTCGAGGATTATAATTGACGTTTACGTCTAAAGTTGAAATCTGTCAGAACATGTCTGGTACCCCATATCTACAGTAATGTTACAATTAATGTTCAAATTTAACAGCATCCAATGTAATGCCAATGTGTCCGAAAAAAAATTAAACTCAAATTCGAAATCGTCCTGAGTATAAACTCTGTGATCTTCTATTCATGATAATTACAACTTTTTTTTCGCGCTTCAATGTCAAAAACCTATTAAATAAAAAAGCATAAAAACGATAAGATATTGTCATGCTTGGAAATTTGCGTTCTTTATCAGTAATACTTACGCTATAAGTGTTATTTCAGGAATATTTGACACGTTGTTTTTACAAAGTGCTTTTTTCGTTAACCAGGAACTTCTGAGATTGAAGACGCAAGATCAGAAATTCAATAGTAACTGGACAGCTACAGTAAAGTGCTTTTCGCATAACTTTTTGAATTAATTATCTTCCATTCGGTTGTACTCTAGCTAGCGTTACAAGACAAATATATTTGTCACTACATTATACGTTCTGTTTTGATATGGAAAGCATTGCTTTACACAATTCGCCGTTGTTTCCTTCTTAGGTATTGATTCAATATGTTACATCAGTTAGCGCACTTAAAGCTCGACCACCGATCAAACTAGGTAACAACAAAGTTTTGTTGTAAAATAAATTTGTCCGAAAGTAAAAACGCTCTTCTTAACATTATCTACTGTAGCAACAGTCAATGGTGAAGTTTTCTCTGCCTAATGCGGCAGCTTATTTGTTACGCCGCACGTCATTTACCATTTCCAAATTGAGATTATTACTATATACGAACAATTTGATAGTGAGTTCGCCGAATTTGATTACTCATTTGGTTGAATGTGCAAATATGGCGGCCAGATACAAAAAAGGGAGAACAGGAATATTTTTTGGTAGTACTAACAGTCGAAAAAGGATCAAACATCAAATTCTGTCCAATTTGGTGGAATTTCTCATCCCTTTTCACCATTACCGATGGTTCCAAAATTAGCATTACAGTGTAAGCTAAAACAACCAAATGAAATAGAACAGAGGAGTCGGCCGATTTGCTTTCACCTTGACATCAGTATCGTCGTGAGAGATAGAATGAGTGCAGCACAATTTAAACAGAATAATAGCCCAAGATCTTCAGATTGCTTACAGTAACGTGACCGCATGTACGAGTCTTCAGTCAGTCATCAGTTTTGAAATAATGAGCTGCATTTACATTCCCCAATAAGGACGTTGGTGTTGTTCACATGAATAACGCAGCAGGAAGGTAATTATTCAAAAGAGGTTGGCAATATAACGAAGGTTGGCAATATAACGAAGGTTGGCCGTGTATTAGAAAATATTAAAGGTAAAATCACTAGTACAAAAAGGTTTGATATTGAATGATTATTTTGTTGTAGACGAGAAATAGGAGTTGCAATCAGGGAATGCAAATGATTTAGGGAGTGGGTATTAAGCAGTATTAAATGAAGAAACTTTTTTTTGCATTAAACTGGCTGTTAAAGACAGATTAGATTAGACTTAATATTACAGTATGCGCATTATTATACAGCACAAGGAAAACGGCGGCGCTGTAATATATCACGTGATATATGCATTTAGAATACTAATACTATATGAAATTTATAAAAATCGATTGCATATGCATTAATATGAAGTTTATGTTTATTGGGTTTATGTAATTTTCTGACTAATTGAACGGCCCCCGCCAGTAATGTATGTACAGTCAGACTCCTCTAAAGCATAACTCCTCTATTTGTCTGGTCCCGAGATTGGACTTAATCATTATTGCATACATCCTTTAAATAGAGCACGGTTCATGTCCATTCGTATATATCGCAAAGTTACCCATTTGGTAACATAGCCAGGTTTTGTCTCATTTCGCATTTGGAAGAACATATTGAACACCATATATTATTACGGATATTTTGGTGAGTTTCGTTCAGATGATGTTCACGAATTCAAAGAGTATCTGCATGTACGTCTCGGCGTTCGTTTTATAGTTGATGAAAGATTATCCCTTTGTCGTGCCTATAATAGTAATAGATAACCGTAATAATACCATATCGAGGCGGATATTTCAAGAGTGAACCCACGCTAAATACACGCAGCTTACCAGATACGTGAAAATTTAATTTTGCCAATAGAATAACTAAAGTATTGTCCAATTCTGATCGTAGAATCTAGCGATATGGTTTCGGTACAATCAAACGTTTCTGTTAATAAATAAACAGGATGTGGCTAATTTCTGCCTATGCTTTCACTTTGACATCAGTGAGTCGTGAGGATAGAACGAATGCAACTAAAGCAAGAACGTCTTTATTCAGCGCATCAGAGAAAGCCACCGAGAGAAAGCTTTTGAAAGCGATGGTCAGCCTAACATTAGCGGGCAATAAATTATATGCCGTAATGTCGCAAGTATACCTACCTCGTGCTCGAAAGACACCCTCTCTACGAGTGTCCAATCATTTTGACTATCTGTGTACTGAATTCTGACCTACGGGGAAGCGGTGGGAACGACCAGTTAACAATTTTTACTGGCTTTAACAATGGGTGCATACGCCTTTGAACTAAACGAAATATAACGTACGGCATGACCAAGCCCTGAATGTTTCAAGAACTAGATGCACAATTTGTAATTTGCAATTATTACGAACAGGCATAAAGCGTGGCCCTATTAGTATGAAGTTTCTTTAGATTTTCTGACTATAAAAAAATATATATATTATATGTCCTAAACAAACTAGATATTTTACTTGCTCTCAGCGATTTATTAATTTTCATGAACAAGCCTTCATATTGACAGATTGACTGGGTATAGAGCATTTTTCTGCAAAAAATCGCTGGCAAGACGACTCGTATGTTCTAGATCACCGTTTTCAATCACTCCAAGCATCTTGTTTAGCATCCCTGTACATTATTTGTTGAAAAAAAAAGTGGTTCTTTTTGTTACACATCGTATCATTATCTTTTCCTAAAAAATATGACCAAGTGACTTCGAACAGTACAAATGGACGTACTAAATACGGTCGGTAAAGATTTTCGGGGGGGTTTTTATGTTTTACTAATAAATTTCGAATACTTGTGTCCGATGCCGTATATAAATTTAGTATTAGTGCAAATTTTGAGAAAGCAAATAGCGAATAAATTCTCTTCTCACAACCTTTACGACTTACCAAGTTTGCCTTTTATGCTTCCACAATAAACTGTCATAATGTCCATGCATTCTAACTACAGAGAAACATCTCTAGATGCACCCTCCTCGGACATAGTGAAAAAATGGCAAAGTGTGCGTTTAAAAGAGGGTGTGCATTTGTAGAAGGCAAAATATATAGACCTCTTATAAGCTGGGATTGTGCAAGACCGTGCACTTATGGAGAATTTGCATAGTGCGTACATTTATAGAATGTACTAATTTCGCATCGAAAGTTTTCTCCCGTTTTCTTATCGCCATTTGTATTTACAGCGACATAAAGGAATTTTTTAACATTTTAGTTTAACTTTCGAAGACTATAATTAATACTTGCATCTAAGACTGAACGTGTTCGGTGCCCCCAGAGAGTTTACAGTAAGTAGACAATAACGAACTCAATAGTTTATGTTATGATTCAATAATGTACTAGTGCGATTGCAAATATAAAAAATTCCCATAACAGCTTCTGGTTTGGGCGTTTTGTATGATTTCCGCCTTAATTGTCTATTATTAGTGATGAACAAAGACGACTCTATCCTTAATATTGATGAAATGCTAAATAACGTAATCTTTATGTCCAGGAAATTTTTATTCATTTGTTAACAAAAGCTTTCTTCAAAGACTCGCGATAGTACAGGTAAAACCTTTTAAACCGGCGGACCTGGTTTGCTGATTTTTGGCCGGTTTAGCCAATGACCGGTTCAGTAAAAAAATTTTAATTAATGAAAATTTGGTGTAGGCGGTTAAACCCACCCGAAACCGGTTTAATCAGCGCCGGTTTAAACGGGGTTTACCTGTACTACCATTGTGATAGGTAAGGACGTTAAAATTAGAATAGCCAATTGTCTTGCAGACAGACATTCAGTGTAACATAAGCTAAATCACGGGATACAAATAGACAATCTAATTCCCGAGCTTGGGATAGGTATGGCGTGCATTTATGGACTACCTTGAATGGCGTATCAACGGCTGAGATTCAATGACAGATAAAATCTGGCAAAGCGCCGTGCCTCATTCGGCTGTATGTCACTCCTGGTCCAGCATCTATGTTACGCATATTCTCTCATATTAACATAAAACTGCCTCGGAATTAAATAGGTCATCGTCTTCAAATTGGTGCAGTTACAGAGTTAATACGCAGCAAGCCGTTAATTACCTTTTCCGTTGATGTGAATAACAATAGTTCTTATTCGGACCGTTACACTCTTCCTATTATATCTTCTAAAATTGTACTACTACCCAAAATATCAGAATGAAACATAAAGAGAATTTGAAACTGCAAAAAAACTGTTACCGAGAACATGATTCACGCATCTCCGTTGGGGAAGAACTTAAATGGTAATTCAATGATCGAATAGACGGAAAGCCAAACAAGTCATAGTCGGGATACTGTGTTGGTAGTACTATAGAGACAGTAGCAGGTAAGGTGTGTCAAGTTTACTCTGACAAAGGATTTCGACTTGGGAGTTTTTGCACTCTTCATTTGCAACGCGACCAATTTGGGCCAGTGTCACATAAAATTGCCCATTTGATTCTATCTGCGAAAAATACCATCAAGAATGTGCAAATATGAATGCATTGCTAAAACGGCCAAACAAGTAAACAAGTAATCGTCATCTATGTAACAGGTATTTTACTGTCACGGGTAACTGTATTTAATAGACTTCTGATGTAACTTCGGGATTGGACTATCAGTAAGTGTGTATATGATATAAAGGGGCTAGCGGGGAGTGACTGACTGATTTCAGAGTGCACTTTACTCGTCTTCATAATCAGGATATATCGGAATGTGTACACCGCAATCTAAACCCAACGGCGCATCTAATGATAGCGTCAATATTAGACAGTCATCCAGCGCATCAGAGAAAGCAACCGAAAATTGGAAAAAACTAAAGCAATCGGAAGGAAGCTTTCTAAAAGCGATAGCCAAACTGACACGATCGGGTGATAAACTAAACGATCTAGTGTCACAAGTATACCTCGAGCTCGACAGCGATCCATTACACCCGTTATATGAACACTTCGACCGTTTTCCAGCCATTTTGACATGTTTGTGCGCTAAAAATCAAAAAACTAGGGAACGCATGGGGTGTGATCTCATGCAATTAGTAGCCGAGCACCTCTTCCCTAGATCTAATGTCTACACTAGCACTTCTCTTCCCAATCCTAATACCAATACATCCGTCACGTCAGATTCTCAGAAAAGATCTGCCTCTTGCGAGCCCACAGTCATCGATAAACGATCTATAAAACGTCCACGTGTAGGACCATATGAGAAGGTCATGGATTTCGGAAATTCCACAAAAGAAATGCAGAAAGGTAATACATCAGCAACTCCAAATGGCCATGACGGACAAGCGGTGTCTTTTATTCCATCAGCAACAGAAGAACAGCAATTGCCACAACTCAGTCGTATGCAACAGACTCCTCTGACTTCTGGGCTGATCGAAGTGCAGGAAGGTAATGTGCCGACCGTCGGTAGTATTCTTATCACAGATATGATCGGAGGAGGACAACTGCAGCCGTTACCTTATGTGCAGCGAACCGACAGTGGCTATACTTCTTTATATGCTGATAGTTTTGGGACCATCTATAGCTCTCCGCCATCTTATAATACGGATGGCATTGCATCACAAGTGAGTAAAGCTTTTATAATGGCCATATCATCTAACCTTTCCTAATCTATTATTTTTGTCGCCATCTACTTTATAGGAATGATAGCGACATCACAGGTGATTGTCTTCTACATCCAACATCGCTTGGGGCCCGCCTTGGGCATGATCCAAGCATTCTGGTTTAACTTTCGAGGATCATAATTACCACTTACTCATGAAGCTGAAATACGTCGGAAATGTGCCAGAGATTAAAGATATCACTCGCGTCCAAACTATAACGGGAAATGGAGTGTAAGCATGTACTATATTTATTTCAGCTGTGTATCACAATGTTGATCCAATAAAGTTAACGTACGATCATGATGGAATAGTAACTAAAAGACGTTATAAATTGTGCACTTAAAATGTGAGGCCTAGCCTCTCACATACCTCTTACATATTCGGTATCGATAACGAAATTCAACGCCTGATACGCGAACATCGTTAATATCAAAAAAGTGTTACGGCCAACACTTAACTTCTGATTAAATTCAAGCGTACAGGAAGTTACTCGACCGTCTACATAGAACCTCTTAGTCATACACAATCACTCTCGATAAGATAAGTCGCCAGGTGGTCCAAAGCAATTATTATCAAAAGTTATTTATAACGAAATCTTTTTAAATTGGAGTCACATGAAATGTCATTATATCAGTTAATAATTCTTTTATTAACACTTTCTTTAAATTACATTATTTTTGCTTCTTTTTAGAAAAGGGTATAAAGTGCTTTATTTCTTCGCCTTGGTTGAGTGTAAAAAAAAGAATTCTTCATACTTAACAGTGTTTTTACCAATTGTACTTCTTCTAGCGTTCATACGTTTTTTGATTGTTTCATATCGCAAAACGAGTCAAAGAGAATCCAAAAAAAGCAACCATACGCAGTCACTCTCGATATAGTGATCCTCTGATAAGATGTGGTGGGCTTAATATCTCGGAACCAAGTCAATTATAATAAATTGGCCTCAATATAATGACATTACTTATAATCTCGTGATAATGATTCATAGAACCAAGAGTAGGAAGTGCGATAGTTTGTAATCATTTATCGAGCAGAACGTCATCGACTAAATTAGGGAAATTGTTTATTTCACATTAGCTTAACTCTAACGTCCCATGACTGATTTTTTTAATTCAGACTGGTTGTAAATTTTTTCAACTATTTCTTTAATTGTTTTATAAAGTTTCTTTAATGATTCTTGTCAGAACTTATCATATTCTCACAATCTCTTTCCCTTTCGCAGTATCATCAAAATTTGTATAGTTAGTATTGCCATATTTTGGTTTATTTTTTCTAACCTTTCTAACTCCTTACGAGTGTTAATAACTCTGTCTATTTTTTTTTCTTAATTTAGAAAAATTGGTTCTAAGATAAGTTACTCAATTTTCCCTGTCTCTTCCAGAGAAATTTTTTGATTAAAACGATTAATTTTTCTGTTTTGTCGGTATCACTGAAAGCGGGATAGCATTTTGGAAGGTTTTAATTTTGGTTCTCAAAAAATATTATCTTTACTTTTTTTTATTGTTTTTTTAAAAATAGTATTTTATTATTGATACTTATATTATTATAAAATTTTTTGTTCACCATAAATACTTTCTGTGATTTATATTTGTAATTTTACACTACAACTTTATTTAGCAAGTGAGAGGAGCCCGTTAACCAGGTACTTGTATTGTTATCAGTATTAAGAAAAGCTCACATGCCATATCGTGTGAATAAAGTAGTGGCACATAGTAAAACGTCATATTCCGAATTGGGCCTGTTCCTAATTGAGTGTGAAGTTGATTTTACGCATTTGTCTCAATCACAAAATAGTGTTACCACAATTTACTGCATTCTTACGCCCTTGTGAAACTTTATTTTAGCGACCAAGACCATCTTCTGAAAAAATTATTGGCGCGTCAAGTGTGTATGATGTAAGGGGTAAATTTCGGGGATAGGAAGTACAGACCATATCCTGGTCAAGCGTTAATAAATAGTACAAAGTGGCGACTTATTTCTGATTCTGCTTTCAGTAACTGTTGTAAAATGAGTAAAACACAATCTAAATCGAGCCGTACATCTAGTAAGAATGTTTCTGTTAAACAGTTTCCCAGCGCATCAGAGAAAGCAACCGAGAATAGGAAAAAATTAAAGGAAATGGAAGGAAGCTTTCTCAAAGCGATTGTCGGCTTAATATTAGTGGACGATAAACTATATGTCGTAGTGGCGAGGTTACAATCCGCACTCAAAAGCGATCCATTACATTCTCTCTACGATCATCTCGATCGTGTCCAGACCATTTTGTCATATCTGTCTGCTGAAAACCCAACAACAAAGGAACGAATGCAGTCAGAACTAAAACAAATAGCAGTCGAGCACCTTTTGCCCAGACCTAATCTCCACGTTAACTCTCTTCCCAACCTTAATACTTGTACCAATGCATCTGTCACGTCAAATTCTCAGAAAAGATCTGCTTCTTACGAGCCCACGGTCATTGACAGACGATCAGGAAAACGTGTACGTGTAGGACCGTATGAGAAGGTCATGGATTTCGGAAATTCCACAAAAGAAATGCAGAAAAGTAATACATTAGCAACTCCAAATGGCCATGACGGACAAGCGGTGTCTTTTATTCCATCAGCAACAGAAGAACAGCAATTGCTACAACTCAGTCGTATGCAACAGACTCCTCTGACTTCTGGGCTGATCGAAGTGCAGGAAGGTAATGTGCCGACCGTCAGTAATATTCTTATCACAGATATGATCGGAGGAGGACAACTGCAGCAGTTAAATTATGTACAGAGAACCGACAATGGCTATACTCCTTTATATGCTGATGGTTTTGGGACCATCTATAGCTCTCCGCCATCTTATAATACGGATGGCGCTGCATCACAAGTGAGTAAAGCTTTTATTATGGCCATATTATCTAACCTTTCCTAATCCATTATTTTTGTCGTCATCTACTTTTATAGGAATGATGCGACATCGCAGGTGATTTTCTTCTACACTCAATATCGTTTGGGGCCCGCCTTGGGCATGATCCAAGCATTCTGGCATTAGCTATTGTTAGCAAGGCTTGAAACATATCTGGCAGTCCCCAGAGACGTATAGCAGGTAGATTATAAGATATCGCTCCAGTGGTGAAAGAAATACCAAACAAAAAATTGTTTTCGTGTGTCTGCAAAACTGTTAGCATAAATTATCAAGATTAAATTAAATCAGTAAAGTTAAGACATACGGTCACAATTGCAAATACAGGATATACGCTACCTGGACAAAAGTCTTGCACATCAAAACACACATGATAATGATATCTCTCAAATTTAACATAATGTTATTTGATAATTTTTGTGTTATTTGCAAACGTACGTCAAAGCAACTCGTAAGCGTTCTAACTTCATTAATCTTAAAATGTATCCCTAAGTCAACGAAGTAAAATTATTGGCCTTTACCAAAATGAGCAAAATTAGTAGAATGCTCAAAGTTCATAGAACAACTGTCATTCGTAGTATTGAGAAGCACCTTAACGTTACCGATCCGAGGCATCCGAATTATTGACAAAAAAAAATCAAAATGTAAAGGTTATTGTTAAAAATAATAATAAGAAATTAGCTGAAGAAATTCAAATATATATATATATATTTCTTGGAAAAAACTAACATTGAAATTTGCACGCAGATTTTGTCTCGTATATCAGTTTAGCAAAGAGAACGATACCTGAAATGGGACTGTTCGAAATGAGCAATCGGTGATGAACGGAGAACTCCGGTACCAGATTTAATATTGAAACGGTTCAAACGGTAAAATTTGGAAGTTAACTATGGGGTGCTTTTCTGGTATAAAGAATTATGCTATTAGTAAAAGTAGACGAAACTACATAAATACTTGAAAAGCATTTATTACCTTTCGTAAAGGAAGAATTTGAGTGCAGAGAGCATTGGTTTAAGATAATCATACCGCCGATGGTGAGAAATGGATTTAATGAACAAATTCAATTAAGTATTTATAGTCGGAGCTGGAAAGAAGAATGAGGATGCAGATAACAAAAGTTGCAGAATTAGAAACACCATTACAGAAGAATGGGCCAAGATTTCACAAATTCAAGTAACGGCCTTGACGGAAAGTATGCCACGGAGGACAGAAGCTGTTATTGCAAACAATGGGGTAGCCAACAAAATATTGATTTATATTAATATTAATATTGTTACTTCATTGATTAATGATCTGTTAAAATTTGAATGTTGTAATTCGATGTACAAGACTTCTCTTCAAGTAGTGTATATTACAGTCTAAGGTGTCTACTCCAGCAAAAAATCATATTAATACAGCGCACACACCGATGGCAATTTATTTTATAAAACCGGAGGGGAATTGCTTGATGACAATCGAAGAGCTTGTATACTATGCGCAAATCGTCACTTTACGTTACCCTTATTTTGTAACATAACTTTCGACAGCCAGAGTTTTTCTATCGTTTGGCATTAGAAGAATTTGCTTCCTACTTGTAAGATATCACATAGCAACACTCGCGTTTCTCTTATTGTCATCGAGATAATATGTTATTGCGTAATTACGAATAATATTGGTTCACAGTGAGCTTGTTATGCGCCCCAGGCGTATGAAGTGCCTATTTTTGACTAGCGCAAAAGAGATGGCAATGTAGTAATATTAGATGAAAGGTTATCAGCCCCATGAATAGGAGGCGACACTTTATATTATTATTGTTGACCCTAACACAAAAGACTAATTTAGACGAATGTCGGAAAGAGTATCCGAATTATTGACAACAACAACAACAACAACAACAACAACAACAACAACAACAACAACAACAACAACAACAACAACAACAACAAAGTAATGATAAGCTCTTACCGATGGCTTAGAAACTACTTGCCTTAAGAAACTATATAGAAATATAAACTTGTATCAATAGAAGAATTATTTACATCATGTGTAATGACACAAATTTCTATTCTCGCTGTATTGTCAGTCATATATTTCTTATTCAACTGTTGAACCATTATCATATGGGTAGAAATCGAGACGTTTATACGAAAGAAAGAATATGGAAAATTACTTAGTGGACCGTTCAACTTATAGAACGGAAATCGTAATGTTAAGAACTCAGATTGGACATTTACACGAAAGAATTATTGTGCTTTTTACCTTAATGCGCTTTGCTTCGTTACAATTGCACAAATTGTTACACGGAAAAACAAGGTGAATTTTTAATCTTGTGTATTGCTAGAGACAGGACGAATGAAGATTAACTTTCGGGTTGAGTCAACTTACACAGTCAGCCTCGATAAGCCGGCCGCATAATTTATATTATAAAGTACTTCAAACAATATAATTATGCGGCCGGCTTATCGTGTGTTATCATCAATTAACGCAAATGGATTAGTGCATAATACGAATAAAGGCAGTCTCATAGTCCCAATGTGGCGCTCCCCTACCCGCCCCTTCTCATTAAAAGAATAATGTTGAACCCCCCTTAAAAAAAAGTTGTTATCAATCAGTAAGGGAACTACCCGTTTTACTCTTTTTGTTAATACGGAACGCAATCTCGCCTGTTTGGGAAAGATTGCTTGGAGCATCACTAAATTTGGGTAAAACGGTTCCATTGCTGGCCGAAATAGTAAACTCTTTTGTCTCATCGGGTTCTCCACAACTAAAATGGCAGTAAATTTGATCTACTTTTCGGAAAACCCTTTCGCCTCCTGTTTTGTCGGCCGAGATAAACCGCTTGCATGTCGTCGAAACTTTATTCAACCATGACCTGAAAAAATAAATAAGTCCAACATCGGTTCCCTTCTGGTGAATTAAGCATGGACGGCACCAAGTTGAAACAAATACAACGTTTGAGAGAATTTCTGTTCAAACTGTTCGTCTGTCCAAGCACTACCTACAAACAGTTCGATATTTTACGTAGGCTATTCAATTCAGTCAATAACAATCCATCACATACAATTTTTACTGAAGGCAAATTTGATGACGTTTTTGTCTGGTTGAAAACTCTTGACGATAATAGCAAAATATGGCACGAATTAGAAGAACTGTCGGAACCTCCTCAATCTAATGTCATAATCGATCCTGGCTCGAAACCCAGCACATTGGAATCTCCGCAAACATTGCAGCCTTCTCGTAGAGGGAAGAGGAATTCTCGTAAGAAAATTACTCGTAAGCCGTACAGTAGACCAAAGAAACAATCGTCAGATTCAAATGCTGCCTTGTCTTCTTATGGAAAAGACTTACCAGAAGAAGTTAAACATCTTTTTCAAGTTTTTCCTTTGGAAAAGAATAACGGTGATGGAAATACACATGCTCCACCAATGTCAATTGGTACGCGCGCAAGTACAACTGAAACCGAAGGGCTCCCTATTCCAAATACAACGTCAACAACTAGCGATAACTTTGCTTCAACGACCATTTCCGGACTTCCAGTTTGCGAGCCACCAAGAAGACTGAGTGCGCATACACCAGAGAGAGCGTCGACAACTAGCAGTAACTGTACTATTGTCGGACTTCCATTAGATGGGTCTGCATCAAGCATGCTTACATTTGGCGGTGAATGTACGTCGAATGTCATCAACCATTACTGCGAGTCGCCGAGAAGTATGAGCTTCAGTAGCGAGGAGCCAATAACGTCAAATGTTCAATCATCGAATGGTTTTTACGCACAACGTTGCTCGGATTTCGTCCCGAATGGTTCATCCGAGTGGTAATGCGAACGGATAAAGTCGATAATAATTTGAAACTATAAACTTGTGAATTGATTGCTTGGCGAATATCTAGCCAGTTTATCAGTGTTAAAAATGTATGTAAAGACTTTTTTTTTCTTTTGTTCCTCCATTGTCTTCTTATCTCTAACTATCGCTAACACTGTTTTATACAGATTTACACGGATTATGTATGATTTTGCTTCACTCCCGAACAAGCCTTTTGCTTGTTGTCAGTTCTGAAGTTTGATGTTGGGGTGGATTGGAGGCCAGTCAATAAATCTCCATGAGTGCGGCCATGCGAGAGGTGCCAAACACTTACGTAAGCATTGGGTATCATTGCGAAAAACTGGGCGATTGCTGTTAAAGGCTGTTCTTATGTGTTGCAAGATGGCAAAATGTACAATATATTTAAAAAAGACTTGTGTATCAAATATTCTCTTGTAAAACACTATTTCAATAAAAAAAAAGATTTCTTACAATAAATAGCAGAATTTCAAGTTTGTTCTCGATCGATCCTTATGAAATAGCTCTTCAAAGAAACAGAAAACATCTTAGATGACGAGACAATAGTTTGTCTTTAAAAATATTATCGAGCTAACCAGTTGACAATAAAAAGTGTAATAATCAGTCTCCCCTTTCGGCATTATAGCCACAGATTAAGATCGGTACGTCTTGTGGAAGAACGTAATGATACGTTCAAGCCAGAAAGTGTCACTAATACTTAGGTCTTTGGAACTATTTTCTAATTCTTTTCTTTGGTTTTTAGGATGGTTTTCAATAAATGAGGATTGCCATCGATTATTTCTTCCCTGCTTATGGATACTCTATGTGCTTCGTGTTTTTTTACTTCAGAACAGGTTAAATGCTAGTTGGTTTGTCACATGTATCACATGAACAAACAAAAGCAGTTACTTAATATATCGATATGCCAGATTGCATTCTAATTAAGTAATAGTCCAAAAAGGGAGCGGGAGTGCAAAAAATTCTAAAAATAGTTGTTTGTTTTTTTCCCTTCTGTAATTAATTAACCCAACGCTTATCTTCCCAAGAACGTCCATTACGTTCATATTTGAATAACGAAATAAGTAGTATGTCTTCTGTAAGGAGGAAAGGAAGGTGGAAAGGCTTTGGAGCAACTTTTTGGGGATCAATTGTCCCGATATAGAGACAAGTATAAAATCAAAGGGCTACAGAATGTTACTGACCGTAAGTACATTATTAATCATGCTTTGCGCTCAAATTGGAAACGCTTGACAAATTTGGACATGAGGGAGCAGCAGCACTCGAACGTTTAAAAAGGGGCTGATTTTTATTCCATCTTTTCCCAAAACTTTAGCGATGAGTGAAATTGACATATCCGAACCGAGCAGTACATCGTCCAATACAACTGAGGAAATCACTGCAAATGAGCATAAGTTAAATCAAATAGTGGGAGACTTTTTGAAAGCATTCGTTGACCTAGGGCGACATCGTGAAACCGAACCTGTCTTCCACGTAGCGACTCTATTCTCCATACTCGAAAACAATCCTCTAGACCCACTTTATCAAGACATTGATCGCATCCAAACTAATTTAAAGTATGTGTGCGCTGAAAGTCCAACGAAAGAACGAGTGCGTTCAGACTTAAAACAATTGGTTGCCCAACATCTCTCTCGTAACCCCGATATCGCTGTAGGTGACGATACTGAAGCGTCCGTTGAACGTGTCAAGTCAGATTCTCAGCGTCCGAACAAGAGACCAATCTCCCGCTCAGAAACAGAACCGTCCAAGGTAGTTAAGAAACCACGACGTCGTAAACGAGCACACACCGCTCCACCCGCTCCGCCTGATCCACCTCCACCGGGAGGAACCTTATTAGACTGGCATAATGAATGGAACAGTAACGTGGCGGAAATCCGTGGCGAAAGAACATCATCTTCCAGTCTTTTAACAACAGTAGATCAGTTATTGCCAAATAATCCGAACCTCGATCTGACCGACACTGACTATGATCCGTTCTGTGAGTTTGTTAGCTCTCCATATACTGACGGAAATCCGTGATAATATAAACCTGAATCGTACGTAGGTTTTCCATAACAAAACGTATAGTCTGATTTTTGCGCGCTCAAATGATTTTAACATTTCTTTCCATCACCAACTTACTCATATAGACATCAATGGTGATATCGCACAGATTTCTTCATCTGAATCTCCTCTATACAATATCATCTCGATCTCTTGGCTGTCTTGGGCATCATCCATAGTCTCCTGTTACAATGTCAAAGGGGCTTATTAACGGTTACCGAAACCTGTGTCTGGTACTTCCAAAGCTTTACAGCGAATAAGTACAGTACAAAGGTGGCATTCGCTTCAGCGATCGAATAAGAAAAGATATGATAAAGTGTCGAACTACCCGTATCTTCTTCTATCATAGTTCTACGTGGCGATAACTGCGGACTGTGTATAGGAGGAGACAGTTCGGGTCGCGTTTAGAAGAGGAGCATTACTTAGTTGTGTTAGAACTGATAGAGTTATAGTTACATCGCAATAGGTAAATTAATCGCAAATATTGACCTAAAAAGTTTCAGGCGCACGATCGTAAACTGGTCCTGTCTTATTGACAATATATCACTTTTTTACGAAAGTTGATGAATGAGCAGTTCGTTGTTTCTCCGGTGACAATTCTTGATTGACAATGTAAACTTTTTCAACTAGCCAGCCAATAAAACAAACTCCGTCCCACTATAATAGAGCACCCTTATAGAAGTGTTGGTTGTTCTTTCATAAAGATTCTGATCTAGCTTTGCTAGATGGCGGCAATGAACAACCTGATTTGTGAGGTTCCTATCATTAGTAATACTCACGAGTCACCCGGAGTTAGTGGTTTGGTCCCTCCTCTACTGTAAATGGAGAATCTGATTAACGTGAGACATCAAATACTTTCCGAGAAAAACCGTTTTTGATACTGATTAGTTCAATTTAGATTCGATCTTAAGAGCTTCGCCGCGCAAAGACTCCCCTCACCGCGAACCCGCGTTGTAAAATGAATGAAATTCTATTCGTTGTTCGATATAACGGTTGCAGGTTTGTACAACAGAACATTAAGGTTAGCAATAGTAATAATAATAAGCTTACTAAGTTTAAAGTTTAATTAATAAAATGTGTGATACGGATCCTTACCCGCGTAGTTTTTATGCTTAATATCAAAGTATAATATAGGGTAAACTCGCAATAGTTAACAATGAGTCGGGCAAATCTTATGTTCTTTTCTTTTTTGTGTTCATATTAAACCTCTCGATATCTGAGCTTCCATGATATAAGTTGCTAAGAAGTGTTGTAAATAACATAAATTTATAAGTATTTAAATTGTGTTGATATGGGGCGTGCTGTAACAGAACCAGAAAAAGTGAGACATTTAAGATTGAATCTTGAGGAAAACTTTGTTTCCAAAATTTACTTAAATGCTCAGTTCTCTTCTAAGCTACAAGCAGCAATGTTACTCTATTGTTATGATGATATTCTATGCTTACTATACATGCTTTATTGCAATATCTATGTTTGTGTTCCCTATCCATCATCTCCACAATCGTGTCTTCCGTAACTTTGTCTATAGAGAAGATCAATGAACATGGTATGTAGAGACTGTTTTTACTCTTATATGCCTGCCTGTAGAATCTGACATGAGATCATTATTCTTGTAGCCTTTTGGGACCATTAACAAGAAAGCCTTCTTCACAGCATTCTAGAAAGACTTTTCATAGTCGGCTTCTGGGGATGGCTTCAGCAACTGCATGAACAACCCTTGCCAGATTCTACCAAATCTTTTTTTACCCATCAGCTCTTTTTTAATGTTTTATGCCCGCCACAAATATACCACACAGGACTACATCGGAGTTATTCCGTATGCAGAGTAGTGAGTAATAATCATATTAGCTTATCTACGTGCAGCTCACCTTCAATCACAAACGTTAATCAATGAAGTAAAGACATCGATCGTCGCTGTCTTATCAGAACTCTGGTTATAATAGTCGTTACAATTGATATTCAATAAACAAGATATATTTATTGTCCAAGCTATGTACTTTGATCGGAAATCTTACGTAATTATAATAATAGTAGTAAGAGTCGCGGTACCATATAGTTTCCGAAAGCCAAGAGGCTTTGTCGGTTTCGTTATTATCGTTTCACATTAAGAAAATTTATGTGTAAAATATTGCTCACTTTTAAGATACTCCTTATCCTTGTTGTCATTGGGGTAGAACTGTAGGAATGGCGTTTCATCCGGCAAAAGAGCTAATGTAATATATTATTACGGATATTACGACAAGTTCCCAGGTGTATAAGTATCCTTTTAACTTGAGCAAAAAAGATGGCAATATGGTAATAGTAATATACGTCTCGTTTATATGCGGTTTCTTCGATTGTATCCTTATGTTTAGATAAAAGATTAGCTATAATAATTAAATCTGTCATACATAAACACGGTATCCTAACCTTTACCAAAACAAATGTCCTTGTAAGATATATTCTTACCTACATTCCACACAGCAAAGCTAAAGTATAAACGAAGTATGATTGTATATTAATATGCGAAATTTCGAGAGGTTTAATTAGCGAGCAATATGTCTAATGTTGGCTGACATATCTAAGCCGTTAGTTGTTGGCCAACTCATAACTATGTATAGAGTCAGCGTTGTGTAAGTTCTACTGTCTATATAAAATCCTGTGTAGTAGTAATAGGGAGTTTAGAATTTTTAATTGATGTTTTATGCACAAATAGGATGACAAAAAGATTGGGGACTCCCAAACCAATAATACTTTTCACAAATTACATTGTTATAGAAAATATCGGTAAATCTTGTACGGGAAACGTCTGCCTTATGACTCGTAGTTGCAGACAGCAAAAAAAACTGTACCATTGCTTATTGGGATGATTGTTGAGTCGTATATATCGACTTTAAACAAAGCTTCTTTTCTTGTTAGCATTTAGATGTTGGAAACTCAAAATCATAAATGCTTTGTACAACATTTTTCCTATTTTAAACGAAAAACTGGAGTTAGGAGTCGAATTTGAATTTTCATATGAACAAACAAACCACTTTTGTCCGCCGTAGATAAGAAATGTGTTACACAATAAATATGCGTATCAGATACTGATGGTCGGTAATGCCCGAATGTCGATAAGATTAAGGAAAACACGTCTTTTTTGTTGTCATTTTAGGGGAAACGTGGTACAAAATACAATGTGAAATTTTGCCATAATAAAATAAAGTTTTGCTATAAAAGGAACTGCCACTCATTGTCACTCTCGTTGGTGTCGATTTCGAATTGTGTCAGTTTAAACGAGACCATTTTTGGAGGCCCGTTGATCAATTTTGTTCTGAATGTTATATTGGTACAAACGAATATCAAATTAAGGGAGGCTTGTCATGCCAATATTTTAATTATAGCTTCAAATGATCCGTTTACGATCTGCGCTCGGAAGCGATTATCCATTACACGCACTCGGCAAAAAAGTGTATGGGGATTCCAAATGATGCACCCATCCATTTTTGTCAAAACTTTAATAGTAATAGCCTGTGGATGTTTGCACAATGAAACATCGTAATCGTATTATTTGTCGGCGCATAATCAAATATTTATCCGGACCGACCCAATTCGAATTGCCTCGATTTCGTCAAGTGTTTCAGATGCACTTGTGCCTTGTTTCAAGAGTGTTATTGATAAAGATGTCATGTCCAAATCTGTGTGATTGCACAATTCTGTGAGATAAATAGCAAATAAATATGGCAATTCTCATAGTCACCAATGTGGATGTCCCCATATCACATAAAGTTCAAAAGAACTGCACTCCTTTAATACGCTAAACGGTCAATCCACTATATAAACGCTTGTTTTCGAAAAACTTTTCGATCTTTTTGCTAAAACGGAATGAGATCTCGCCTGACAACTCTTCAACTGTGTTGTGTTGAGCCAATGTTTTGGATTGGCGAGTCTGCACTGTGATCTGTGCTGGGGCATTTGAAAAGAAAGTCTGTCGATTGGCACTAAATTTGGCAAGTTCCATTAGAGGATATCTTTGGCCTTCGACCACTCCAACTAAAATGGCGATCGTCTTCTCCGTTTTTTTTTTATCGGCCGAAATGGGTCTCGATTACTGGCACATCATTTCATTTCAGGGTTTAACCTTATTCAAGTATGACTTAACCTTGACAAGATAAAACGCTCAAGTTGCCCTCTAATGGACTAAAGCAATGGACGGCACCAAGTTAAAACAAGTGCGACGTTTGAAAAACTTATTGCTCAGACAGATCCTTTGTCGACGCACTACTTACGAAGAATACCATATTTTACGTGCGTTATACAATTCACTTAACGACAATTTATCCTCACATCCAATCCTTGTTGAAGACAAATTTGAAGAAGTTTTTGGCTACTTGAGAATAATTCACGAGAATAAAGACATTTGGTGCAAATTAGCGCAATTGTCCGAACTTTCTCAAAGCATACCTGAAGGATCTTCTCAAACTAATGTCAGCATCGATTTTAACTCGCAACCACGCACATCAGACTCTCCACAGACATCGCAGCCTCCTCGTAGAGGAAAAGCTCGTAAGAAAATTACTCATACACCGTATAGTAAACCAGCGAAACAAATTTCAGATTCAAATGCTCCATTTTGCACTTATGGAAGAAAGCTGCCGGCAGATTTTAATCAGTATTATCAAACGTTTTCCTTGAAAGAGAGTGAGGATCATAGAAATACAGCTTTGCAAATGTCAAGTGGCACGCACACGCTTACAAGTATAACTGAAACTGAAGAACTCTCTATTCCGGACACCATGTCAACAATTAACAATAGCTGTGCTTCAACGGTCATTACCAGATTTTCACCAGGAAGTATGAGCACGCATACACCAGATAGAGGGTCAACAGCTAACAGTGACTGTACTATCGCCGGACTTTCAGTCAATGGGAGCACGATCACACTTAGTGGATATCCGATCAGCGAGTCACCAAGAAGTATGAGCACAGATAGAGGGTCAACAATTAACAGTGACTGTACTATCGCCGGACTCTCAGTCAATGGAAACACGATCACACTTGGTGGATATCCGATCAGTGAGTCACCAAGAAGTATGAGCACGCATACGTCAGATAGAGGGTCGACAAGTAGCGGTGACAGTACCGTCGCCCCAATCAATAGCATTTCATCAACCATGATCACTTACTGCAAGTCGCCAAGAAGTATGAGCTACAGTATCGTGGAGCCCACAGCATCAAATACTTTGTCATCGGATGTTCTTACTTACAACAATGTTTGAATTCTAGCAACGTGGATAAAATCAAGGAATAATTGAAACTACAAACTCGTGAGTTTGATTTCTCGGCGAACGTTTGAACAGTTTATCAATATTAAAAGTGTATGTAAAGTTTTTTTATTTCTTAAATTTTCCATTGTCGCCTTATCTGACTATCATTTAACACCATTTCTATACAGTCATACACGGATTATGCATGATTTTGGCCCTTCCCCTTCCCCACCCACCCCGTACAACAAGCCTTCCGCTTGTTTTCGACTGTGATTATAAATTTGATGGTCAAGGGGTCAGAATTGCGTAGTAGTAAGCGTATCATTGTGAAAAAAAAGTACTGTTAAAGATTGTAGGCCTGCATTCATGCGTCTTTATTATTTTCGTAACTTATAGCAAAATGTGCAGTATATTTGAAAAAAAAAACAAACTCTTATATTAAATATTTTCTTGTAAAACACCATTCCGATAAAAAAAAAGATTCTTACAATAAATAGTAAGATTAATCTCAAATCGAGTAACTATTTAAAGAAACAAGTGACGTCTCGAATAAGAAGACTATAGTTTGCCTTTCAAATAATATCATCGGGCTAACTAAATAAAGGAGACAAGTGTGACAATCTCAGATCGGGGGAAAGATTACATATTCATGCCCAGTAATCGGCTTATTATGGAACTTTACGTCGATCAATTTCTAACCTCCTCCATTATTTATATAGTAATCTTGCCAACTCGTTAAGGAAAACATGTTTATTTAAGCCACAAGCCTTTTACAATAACAAACAAAATAGTAAAATTGATTTAATTTATATGTCAATATTTACAACATTTACTGTCATCTGATCGGGGGGGGGGATAAAAGCAAACAGTCAAACTTGGACTAGATCACTATTATTATTATATGAATGTTAAGTATAAGGTAAAATCGGGCTGTCCCTAATAAGAATGCTTTGCTATTCCGAACAATATGTCTAACCTCATTAATCAAGTATTGTGTCGTGGGTGGGGGTTTAACGTTAACGTTAAAGAAAAAAAGACGTCAATCCTAAAATGGAATTTTTGTTTTTAAACATTGTACAGATTGAGATTGTGTCTTCCCTTTTTAATCATCATCAACTGCATATACATTTTTTTGGAATAACATATCATTATGTAAGGAAAGACTTTGAAATAGCAATAAAATAAAGTTTAATTCTATCGTTTCAATTGAAATGGGGTGTTTATTTCGAAAAGAGAAACAAGATGTCTCCCTAATGAAACGTTTGAAGACATTGGCCAAGATATGACGATGTGAACGGTGGAATCAAAACGGTCAACAGATCCTGCTTTCCACATTGGGAAATGCTCTGACGAAGTTGGACGTCGGTATAACAAACATTCTAATTGATTTAAAGACGTTTTCCCTGTCGATTGCTTTTTCAAGTATTTTTAGCATACTTCAGAGATGAATAAAATTGACATATCCGAACCGAGAAATACAATTGAGGAGATCGCTACGAATGAGCACAAGCTACATCAAATGGAGAGGGACTTTTTGAAATCACTCGCTGCCTTATTGCTTGATAATGAAACCAAACAAGCCCGCCAAATAGCGTTACTATACTCCAGACTCGAAAACAATCCATTGAGCCCTTTTTTTAGAGATACAAAGCGTATACAAAATATTGTAAAATACGTGTGCGCCGAAAGTCCAACGAAGGAACGAGTACGATTAGATCTGGAACAGCTGGTTGCGCAGCATCTATCTCGTGATCCCAACGCCACTGCCGGCAATCCCCTCGAGGTCGAAGATAAATCGTTTGTTGGAAATACGAGGTCAGGGCATCCTAAAAAAAGACCCATCCGCTCAGTAACGGATCCATTCAAGACGGCTAAGAAACCGCGACCCGGCAAACGTGCAAATACCGTTCCAACTCCCGTTCCACCCACTCCAGCCACACCTCCCCCGCATGGAGGAACAGTATTAGAATTCCCGAATGACGTACAGAACAGCGATGAGCCGCAATTCCGATTTATCAATTACGGGCAAGTGTCGCCTTCAACAACAGTAGATCCACAACTGTTGCCACCCAATCATATAGAGCATCCGTGTCCGAATAATCCGAGCTTCGAACTGACAACAACCGAGACCAACACCGACGGCTATAATATAGTAATCGATTCTCTATATGCGCCCTGAACAATACGTAAGTTTCAACATTTCAGTGTAATCATATGAGTGCTCAAAAGATCTCGACATTTCTCTCATTAATTCCTGTTACCAACACTCTTACAGACGCCATTGTGATATTGCAAAGATTTCTTTATCCAAATCTCATCCGTACGGTATCATCTCGGTCTCGGGTATTATCCGTTCCACCTCAAAGGTCTTATTAACGCCACCCGAGACCTTTCAAAGTATTATAGCAGACAAGTATTCGTTCCAGCGATAAGATAAAGTCGAACTCTTTTATCATAGTTCTTCGTGACAATGACGCAATGAGGAGACAGTTCGGGCAATAGTTAGAATGGGAGCTGTGTTCGTATGGTACGCTGCAAGCTAGAATTGACAGGGTTATGATTATATCACAACTTGTAAGTTCATCGCATAATAATAAAGTTTCGGTCTCATGATTGACTATGGTTATGTATCTTCAGATCATTTTACTGTGTAACATGATTCTTAATACTTATACTATTACTATTATTATATAATACTTAATACTATCAGAAGTTCTTTTTATTATATAATTCAGTTTGGGTCTGTATATGTACTAGCAATCTTAAAGCAGCCTTAGCAGTTTTCCGTAGTTGTCAATAAAAATCATGATTATATAAAACGAAAGTTCAGTCTCAGAGTTATACTTTGAGTGGAGAACTTGAGGCATCCACTTTTTTGATACTGACCGCTCATAAATAATATTGTTTTGATCCTTATACAATATTCTATCGTGAATCGATATAATTAAATTTCTACTGTAGGGTTGTGCCACTAGAACATTAACGTTAAAGTTAGCAATATAATAGATAATAATATAAGCTTACCAGGTTTAAAGTTTAATTATTTAAAGATCAATTATTATTATCCAATTATATTGCACGTAAATCAAAATGTGCGTTATGTCAAATTAGTCGTGTAGTTTTCTATGCTTGATATCAAAGTATAATATATAGGTAAACGGACACTCAAGTCGAAAACTTGACAAGTTGGACAAAATCTCTATTACAATAAGGCCCTCTCGATAAGTCAGATTCCTTGATAAATCGGACGTCACGTCATGTCTGACTTATTGTTGGTTATCACAGATGTGTCCTATACACAAGAGTACATAAACTACTGTTTTGATTAATATCATGCCACAACATATGCGGAACAGCAGTACGGTCCACAAGCAAGCAAAGAAAGCGTGATTGTAGTAGATTATTTTAAATTATCTATTGTGGGACCTAAAAATATAAAGCTCAAGGAGAATAATGATCATAAGTCTATCCTCGATAACTGAGCCACGTGAAGTAGCCGAACTGTTTACAGATACTTTAAGCGTAATAGACGTTGTTAAATTGACTTGATTTTATGACAGTAATCCTCAAGTAAGGAACCATTCAAGTCCATAATATTCAATTACTAAATAAAATTTGAACCAAGCTGTCTGCATTATTCTTAACCTTAATATCGACATAGTTTGAGTTCGAACTCTAATAGTTCTATGAGTTATTCCAGCGATCCCGTATCCGTATTGAAACTTTTGATGTAGTTGAACGTGCGTTATTAAAGTGCTGAAATCCGGCTGAAGCTGAAACACCAATGGGATTAAAGAATAAATTTGATCAACCAATGAAAAGTCATGGTTTCAGCATCAGCATCAGCCGCGACATTAAACAAAACCGTCTGTCATCTTTAGCTAATCTGTTTTCAGAATGACTTCGCACGGTATACCGCAATTACTAATATTAGCGGTCGGGTTCTCTTAACATTAGCAGATGGTTACTATTTCCAATCCTATTAATTTTTACACATATCGTCGGTTGCAAAAAACCAAGATGGGCTATTGTTCATTTTCTGACTACACAGTAATTATTTCTTCATTTAAAAGCTAAACCACGTGTTCGGATGATCATGTGCACTCTCATGAAATTAAAGGCCGATGACTCTACTTTTAGTATACTAGACTCTTGCTCCAGTCCCATACGACATGGGCAAACCACCAGTTCACTCAAGTTGCAGAATTGGTTTACGCTATATCGAAAAGATATACGGGCGAGATTCACTCGTGAAGGCAACGCAATATCAGCTGCCGAGTCATCTCGCATTGCCGCCGAAAGTTGACAGCACCTCCTCAAGAAGAAAGAATTTCTGACATGTCTTGTGCGCAATCTAAAAAATGAAACACAAACTACAACTTGTCAAAAACAAGCAAGCGAAAGGGGCGCGGGCCATGATGATAGTCGACGGTTTAAACGATCCGATAAATGACAAATCAATAAGAATGGTCAGATGCAGTATGGGCTCCGAGTCTTATTCTTTCAATGGAAGAATTCAACGATTTCTCAACGATTGCTCGACCACTGAAGGCCTTTATGACATAGAAGAGAATTTTTTGCGCGAAAACGAAGTGGAAAAACGGATATGTTTTCAGAAGCTGCAGCTCAGTATAAGTGTGAAATTCCAGAAATCGTGAATTTGTTTATTCAGCTTGCGGAAGCTGCAAGAGGATTCACTGGAAAGCTCACCGTTCGTATGAGTGCAATACAAACCTGTCAAACGTGTCAGGAGGATTTGACGTGTACCCGTCTGGTCGAAAGATAAATCAATGTACATGTAACGACAACAATAAGCAACTATTTTCCGGACGCGTGTTTGCGTTGAGACAAGACTGGCAGCTAACGGACAGAACAATCTCTGGCTTGGTTAATAAGGATTTGATGTTGAAGTTTGCGTTCTTTATTGCCTGCACCTACGAGTGAACGCTAAAGGTGCACAGGATTTGATGTTGAACATGTTGAGCAGGAGGGGCGTAGTGCGCGAAACTTTGTTATAGAGTGTGGTTTTTGATCAAGGTAATAGAAATATGACTGTCAATAGTTCATATAATATTATGAGCGTCACAGTAAAGATGGCTAATTTATTCAGGCGTCAGTTAAACAAATCATAATATTACTATATCGCTTTTGTTTCATCTATGATTACTTGTAACAGACTTAACTGTATGGCCCTAACTCGTTGCAGTTTACCAATGATCAATGTCTGTTGCTTTGCAAATCAATTCACGATTTTTTGAGTACCATACATACACTCATATTCTGATCTATTAGGAAAACGCATAAGAAATCCTATTTTTCGGAAAAATAACGATATACTCAGTGCCGTTATAAGAGAAGTGACAGCATCATGTGTTATACATATACTGGCATACGTTTTACGTATACATAGATCTTCGTTGCAGTAACCAATTTAAAAGTAAACGAAGATTGTGACTCATGTAATAATAGGACTTCTGAAGAATTTTTCATATGTTTTAACTGACCGATCAGCAAAAGCTTGGTAGATGAATTTAATAGGCTTCTGCGATAAAGCTACTTTCCTTGTTAAGGTGGTTCGGTGGTTCCGTTGATCTGAAACCGAATCGGACTTCGTTTCGATTTGATGTTTTTTCAGCGTAATTAAATTATCTCGATTACATAGAAATACTGATTTCTGATATCAACTTTCTATTACTATTACAGAAAGCCTATCGAATTGTCGGCTTAATAATTGAGTCTAAACCTCATTTCTTCATTACTCAATTTTGTGATTGCTGTGCCATTGTTTGCGTATCCCTAATTAAAATGCAAAAAGGTTGAAATCGCTGTGGACGAATACTGATGTAAAACGAGAAACTAAACGCTTTTGTAATTATAGTTACAAAAAAGCTTTCTGAGACCTCATTAGTGGAAGATATACTGTATGGACACATACAAAGGATAAATTTCGAAGCTTTAATTTATCCATTTACAGCTGTTTTTGCTGTAAAGCAATATTCATCGCATCGCCGTGTGTTCCGAGTGTCCTATACGTATTAATATAACTAATAAAAAAGCTAACAGAAAGAGCTTTTAATCTTTCGCTAATTGTACTTATAACCAATCAATCATTATCACGTGTAATCACGTAAAGAATTGGTCAATTGGAGCCCGCGTTTCTCGTGTCACACACAATCGCGTCAAAGAGCCGCTTTTATATGGTTATTACCGGCATCGACAAAAACAAAGACAGCTTCACATTCTCTTTCTGAATAAAAACCGCACGGTTCTCGCGTTGCCTGGAACATCTAGGCAAGAATGGTTTCAGTGAAGTCAAACAGGCTTGCTGCTCATTTACAATTCGAGGCAAGTGTAAGGAAGTTTTTATATAAGTCGTTACTACAGCTGGCAGGCAGTGCGAAGGGTTCCATTGAAGCCCAAGGCTTCTGTGACTACGGCGGGGGCGACCAACCTGCTTTATGGGGAATCCGTCATGATCCACGAGATCGCTTTATTAAGCGCTCTTGTGGAGGTGAGATCCTTCGTTTGAGTCCCGAGAAGGGGTGCCATACTCACACAACTACGGCGGGGGCGACCAACCCGCTTTATGGTGACTTCCGTTGTGACCTGTCTGCCAGCTATTGACAGTTTTTTTGAAGATGCTTATTGTTATTACGATTTTTAATCAAAACTCCTCATCAGCTCACTGTGGCGAATGCCACAGCTGACCACAATAGTTCGTAGTTAAAAAGCAACAACGATCTTTCACTAAAGACATTATCTTCGAATTATTCTTCATAATGAGACTATAATCGCATCCACGCCTCCACTTAACATGAGCAGTTATAATTATTTTTGACTTACGCGGGCAGAATATTAATGATCAGTTTGATAAATGACTGGATGTATCTGACGTATTTAGAAGATGACACGCCGACTGTTACGCCCCGGCTTTTTGCGAATCCGCTAAGGCACGAGGGTTCTATTAAGAATAATCAAACTATGATTATAATAGATGTCCGGCCTTCTCAATCTCAACAAAATGGTGTCCTTGTCGAGCATAATGGGACGTTGGGCGGACCAAGTTGTTACTTAACTATGACGATGGCTTTCTGATGATGTTACAGAACTATGATTTCTGAGGCTGCATTCAATTAACAATCAAAGGTTTGGAGACGATATTGATAAAGTAAGTCAACTGGGATGGTGTGAGAATCAATGATTCTTTTCATATAATAAATGATCGTTTAGAACCAAGACGTTTAGGTAATGCTACCTTCGCTCCTATTTCAAGGATAGAGAACAAATGCTTGCTAACAACATCTTCCCATAATCAACGGTGGATATGGTTGTGTCTTTATTACAACAAATCTTAATATTTGGGTCAAAAGTCTGCAATCACTTTTAATGAAATTTACACACCATCTACGCAGGTGTAACTGACCTTCAGTAGCATATGATGGGTAGCGCCAACTCAAACGTTGCGTCATGTGAACTCCTATTCAACGAGAGCATCTTATGAGCTCTAGCTGATAGATTAGTCTCAGTTAGACGTAAGGATCATTCAAGATGCCATCATGCTAAATTCAGCGGTACGGTCACGAAAAGCGTGAAATCAGCATATAATAATATACATACTACACATATATATAGATAACGATATCACCGGATTCATCACATGTAAACTTTCATCGTTATTTGCGTAAGAAATGGATATCGCAAATTCTCTATCAAAATTTTTCATGGCATAATCTTCACTACAACAATTATAAATGGCTTAATACTGTTGCATGATTTATATGAAGTTGATACCGATACTGTGTTAAAACAGGTGACCACAAATTGTAGTCACGCGCACTCGTTAAAACGTGTGCATAGCTTAAGTCTATCAAACACTCATCGTTAACGTATCTTTTTCCGTCAAAAAAGATCGTCCATGGACACCGATTCTTATTTCAAAGAGACCCCACCCGAAGATTATCGCTTTATAGGTTATTACCGATATCGACAAAAACAAGACGACTTCACATACTCTTTCCGGGTAGAAGCCGCGCGGCTCTCGCGTTGCTTGGAACGTCTAAGCAAGAATGGTTCCAGTGAAGTCAAGCAGGCTGCTGCCCGTTTACAAAGCCAATTCGAGGCAAGTATACGAAAGTTTTCTAAACCGTTACTACAGCTGGCAGGCAGTGCTAAGGGATCCATTGAAGCTCAAGGCTTCTGTGAGCGACCAACCTATTTTATGGAGTTTCTTGAAGATGCTTATTGTTATTACGATTTCTAATCAAAAATTTTAGGGCCACCGGAAAAAATATAAAGATATTGATATATTTTGGGGGGAGATTGAACAAAAGAGAGAGCTTGATGCTGTTGAGGTTGGTCACTATCAAATGTGATGTGAATAACGAATTTCATTGAGTGTGCTTTTTTTTTCATTTTGAGAGGAGATTGAGCAAAACGGAGAGCTTGATCAAAACGGAGAGCTTGATGTTGTTGAGGTTGGTCATCAATGTGATGTTGATAATCATATTTTTATTGACTATGCTTCTTTTTTTATTATAGACGGAAGCAGCCTGTCATGTAGTGCAGAAAAGTGTGGGGGTTTTTGACACAGCTATGACCAGCCTTGAAGATAGAATAGTAAGGGTTATTATATTGTAATTATATTAATATATAAAGAACTATTGATTTATTGCTTTTTTTTTGTTAGAGGACCAACCGGAAACGACCAAGAACTCCTGAGACATGTGTATGTGTAAGTTTGAACCCTGATTTTATATGTCAATTGCTTTGACATTGCTCACACTTAAAAATATAATCTATATATTATGTGTTCAGCCTGAAACTCCTATCATCTATTGTCCAACCCTTTCACAGAGTCAGAAAAAATTATATACAAACATTCCCAAATATAAGAAACAGGTAAATATACTCAAATGTCTGAATAAGATGGCACCTAACTAATAATAAATATATTGTACAGAATGTCAAGCCAATGGAATTATTCCCTGTTAGCTCAAGCTCTAGCAGTGATTCTGAACATCAAGATGTAACAGATGAATCATTATCATCTGATGATGAGTGTGAAGTGATATATGGTACAGATATTCAATCAAATCCTTTTGAGTTGTCAACCAGTTCAGGTGATTCAGACTGGAA